TTTGCAGTATTCTTCCCCTGGAGTGGGGATGGAATGGAGATTTTGCAATATCCTTCTGGAGTGGGGATGGAATGGGGATTTTACAGTATCCTTCCCCTGGAGTGGGGATGGAATGGAGATTTTGCAATATCCTTCTGGAGTGGGGATGGAATGGGGATTTTACAGTATCCTTCCCCTGGAGTGGGGAGGGAATGTGGATTTTGCAGTATCCTTCCCCTGGAGTGGGGATGGAATGGAGATTTTGCAATATCCTTCTGGAGTGGGGATGGAATGGGGATTTTACAGTATCCTTCCCCTGGAGTGGGGAGGGAATGTGGATTTTGCAGTATCCTTCCCCTGGAGTGGGGATGGAATGGAGATTTTGCAATATTCTTCTGGAGTGGGGAGGGAATGGGGATTTTGCAGTATCTTTCCCCTGACACGCCCACGAAGCCACACGCACCAACCCATACCATGCCCACTAAGCCACGCCCACAGAACCGGTAGTAAAAACATTTGAATTTCACCACTGGTCTGTACATGTGAGTTCTGTCTTCTGATTAAGTATTTATTTGTTTGTTTGTCAAACATGTACAAGACAAGTATAGGTATGAACATAAACATGAACAAAGGAAGTGAATACAGATAAATGGGGACAGTAAAACGGGGACGGTGGGCACGCTGGTGCGCTTATGCAAGTATCACCTTAAGCAGGATTTTTCTGGCGTGGAATTAGATCAGTGATCCTTCCTGGAACAAAAGGGGGATTACTGACCTTTCTTGGGATGCTTGTCAAAGATTAGCAGGGTGCTGCTTAATTTGGCCTTCCAATTGCACGGTGTCTCTTTCTTTCTTTCTTTCTTTCTTTCTTTCTTTCTTTCTTTCTTTCTTTCTTTTTTTCTTTTTTTCTTTCTTTCTTCCTTTTTCCAAATGTTTTTATTGAACATATTTTGTCATTTATATACCACATTTTCAATTTTTTACAGCGTTCTAGTATCGGCAACACTTATAGTTACATAATGGTTGCTTCATTATTCTTCTCATCCAATTCTTTTTTTAAAAATTTTTTTTTATTATTTTTTAAACATTGGAAAACAAAACACAAATTTCCACTCATTACAGCAAATCCATACCATCACTTAAAATATAATAATATTCACAAATTTATACTGTGTTATCATGTTTGTCATAAATAATACTTAGTTCTTATACAGTTTCTTGCATCTATTGTCCAACCATTTATACCAGGGGTGTCCAAACTTGGGAACTTTAAGACTTGTGGACTTCAACTCCCAGAATTCCCCNCATCCATCCATCCATCCATCCATCCATCCATCCATCCATCCATCCATCCATCTATTTATCTATAAATATGGGAAAATATATAATAACTTTTATGATTAGGGATGATAAATATTTGTTCTTATGGGGAAAAAGGCTTGAATAACGGGTTATTTAGGCTAAGAACAAAATGATAATTTTAGTGGATCTGTAACTTTATATAAAAATAGTTTTTAATATCTCTGTAGCTTATCCCTTGCATATACTATATAATTGCACTGTTTTACATTTTTAACACCTTCAAATAGCAAAGAATAAAAAAAAGATAATAAACGTTAAGGCAAACATCAGGCAATTTTCTTTAACATAATACAAAGCTTCGTTTGTTACTCACTGGAAGATTTTTGCATGAATGGCTTTTAAAATAGCTAGATTTTTCCCCACTTTCCTCTCAGGACGCCTTCTCACTTTTAAAATTTTTTGGGAGATCCCAAAAGAGCTTTTGCTTATAGGAGTTATATTTTTGGATATTTACCAGATTAAAAATTTAAATGGATGCATCTGTTTCTACTTCTGCTTCTCACCATTTGGTGGGATTTTAATACAGGTGGTGCTCGGTTAAGGACTGTAATTGGGCCCAGCAACTTGTTTGCTAAGTGACACGGCTGTAAAGCGAAAAATTCCATGACTATGTCAACTTACAATGACACTTTCAGCCGTTCCACTTCCGATTGTGAATTGAATCATGGGTGCACCCCCTGGGGAATTCTGGGAATTGAAGTCTACACATCTTAAAGTTGCTGAAGTTAAGAAACACTGCTTGTGTCCTTTTGCAGCAAGGCATCTGTGGGGAGCCTGGTTTTCCTGGACCTCCTGGAGACATCGGGGCACCTGGAGTTAGAGGTTTCCCAGGATCTCCTGGCCCTCGAGGACCGAATGGGGAACGTGGTGTACCTGGAATGCCTGGGTTGCGAGGTGGCCCAGTAAGTAAATGTCATAAAAGTTCAATGTTATGGTGGGATCTGCTGCTGCCTTCGGAGTCAGATATCAATGGGGCAGAAGGACAGCTGCAGCCTCTTCCCAATGTGCACATGCGCAGAGCTGCCAGGAGAAGGGAACAGCTAAGGAACAAGGGCCGACTTGGGAGTAAAGCCACAGGTGGATGGTGAATGGCCCCTCCCAGAGGACATAAAAGAGGAGTGAAAGGGGAGGCGGCTTTTGCAGGAAACAATTCGTTCGGTCGTTAGATTTGTTTCAGGAGT